GCTCTGCTCAGCCACAAGCCAGGCTGATGGCTGCCAGTACAGTGGTGGTGGAGGGAGCCTCTCCCGCCTCCTCAGCAGCACAAGGATGTATGACTGCAGCTTAGGCCTGCTCCCTGCTGGCAAGTGAACATCCCCCAAGGGCTCCCGGGCTGCCAGAGTGATGTCTGACTGCCAGCTTAGGCACAATTCCCCAGGAGCAGGCCTAAACCAGCAGGTGGTCATCACTCAAGGGGTTCCAGACTGTGAGAGAGCACAGGACAGTCTGAGGGACCTCCCCAAGTGCACAAATTTTAGTTTATATATAAACTAGAGGCCCCGTGCATTAAATTCATGCACTGGGGCGGGGGTGGGGGGGACACTGTGCCCTCTCATAGTCCAGGAGTCCTTGGGGGATGTCCGACTGACAGCAGTTAGACATCCTTAGCACTGCCATGGAGGTGGGAGAGGCTCCCGCCACTGCTGCTGCACTCACCAGCTATGAGCCCAGCTTCTGGCTGAACAGCGCTCCTCCTGTGGGAGAGCACTGACCACCAACGGGCAGCTCCTGCATTGAGTGTCTGCCCCCTGGTGGTCAGTGCGCATCATAGCGACCAGTCATTCTGCCGTTTGGTTGATTTGCATATTAGCCTTTTATTATATAGGATATACATTTAATATAAATGTAATTCGTATTTAATACTTAATATAAAAGTTAATAATACATTTTATACATTAAATGTAGATACATATCTATAATCCCACTTCATATCCTATATAATAAAAGGGCACAGGTTGGGCTGAGGAACACCCCCACCCCCCCGTGCACGAATGTTGAGCACAGGGCCTCTAGTATAATTTATATATTAAATGTAAATATATCTATAAGCCCATGATATATGTTGATATGTGTATATATGAAAGCTTTCAAAGACAGTCAAAACCCTAATCTCTGCTGGTAGGAGTCAACACTGATAAGGATATGAACATTTATATCATAAATGTTCATATCATATCATACCTACTAGTAAAATGTACCTAACTTTGACTCCAAAAAAATCCCAATTCTGAAAGTTATATGAAGGGAAGAATCATAAGTGGACCCAATATACAAGAGTCAACATGATGGGACAATTAGAGAATGAACCTTAGATATGCAGCCTCAATACACCTCTTAATGCTGAACCTAATGCTGAACCCCAGTCCAGACAAACGGCCCTGTCACAGGTCTCCCACACTCCACCCTGCCCAGCAGCATCTCTGAGCAAGAACCTGCAACCTGGTAACAGTCTGGCTCCCAGGAAAGAGAGGTGTGAACTACACAGGCCCAGGTCCCCATTCCGAATATACCTATAAGGTAAGTCACTATACCCCCCAAAAAGGCCAGGATCTTTACCAGAGAGCAATGAAGGAACCCTCAGGGAGTGCTGACTAATGCTCTCTCATAACATATCATAATGTTTATAACATAGAAAATATGGAAACAATCTGTATGTCCAACAGGAAAGCAATGGATAGGTAAACCTTGATGGAGCCCTATGAAAAGGTATTTAAGACACTAAAATTACCCTAGCCAGTATGGCTCAGAGGATAGAGCATCAAGGTTTCCAGGTTTGATTCCAGTAAAGGGCACATGCCTGGGTTGCAGGCTCAATCCCCAGTAGGGGGTGTGCAGGAGGTAGCTGATCAATGATACTCTTTCATCATTGATGTTTCTATCTCTCTCTCCCCCTCTTCCTTCCTCTTTGAAATCAATACAAATTTTCTTTTAAGTCACTAAAATTCATGTTGAAGATAAACACTTGCTGACATGGCAAGAGGACATAACATTATATAACATTGCCCATGCCAGAAAGGTATGTGGTTATCTCTGTGTGATGGAATTATTGGTGACTGACTGACTTTGCTTTTCTTTTTTATATGTTGTCTCCATTCAATACATAATCTTGAGCAACTGGAAAATAGAGGAAAAATATTTTAAACAAAGATTTTTTTCTTATTTAACCATAAATTAGGCAATGAAAAGAATATGTGTGTTTGTATGTGTGTGGGGGGGAGGGGCAGGTGTAAGAGACCTGCCCACAATTTTTGCCCTAATGATAGAATTTGGAGAAGCAAGAGTGGCATGGGAAACAGTGAAGAGAGGGAATCACAGGTTGGTTTCATGTATGAAAATCTTGTTTTTGCGATGTGCCTAGTAATTAACTGTGTGTTCATCTGTATCTGCAGTGGTGAGGGAAAGGGGAGTGATATTGACCTGGGATCTACTATGACAAGTTGTAATTCCTCCTTGAGAAGTTTCTTCATAAAATGTAGTCTGTGGTCATTATTGCATAAGGTTTAATGTCCAAGACAACAATCATTTTTTTTTCAGTGACTATTATAAATACTTTCGTGACCCCTACTGGCCATGGCTGGTAAAGCCTAAACTTTCTTTAGGGGCGTGGTTAATTATGCAAATTTGTGAAGAAGCAAGGGAGAGAGGAGGGGAGATTGCTATCAAATACTTTTGCTCATTTAAAAATTATATACTGCCCAACCAGTGTGGCTCAGTAGTTGAGCTTCAAACTATAAACCAGGAGGTTATGGTTTGATTCCGTCAGGGCACATGCCTGGGTTGCGGGCTCAATCCCCAGTGTGGGGCATGAAGGAGGCAGCCAATCAATGATTCTTTCATCATTGGTTTTTCTATCTCTGTCTCTCTCCCTCTCCCTTTCTCTCTTAAATCAATATATTTAAAAAAAAAAAAACAGCATGTATTTCATTGTACTTGCCTTTAACCAGATAGATGAATTACATATAGCAGATACATGACTGAAAATAACACTGATAAGGAAGTGGAACTAAATACATGATTCCTTACCCTTTTCAATTTAGCCCTTATATTTCCTTGAAATAGCAAATAATTTTCCTCTGAATTGCAAATGGCTTCATGATTAAGAAGAAGAAGAATTGCCGAGGCCGGTTTGGCTCAGTGGATAGAGCGTCGCCCTGCGGACTGAAGGGTCCCAGGTTCGATTCCGGTCAGGGGCATGTGCCTGGGTTGCGGGCGCATCCCCAGTGGGAGGTGTGCAGGAGGCAGCTGAGGGATGTTTCTCTCTCATCTATGTTTCTATCTCTCTCCCTTTCTGTAAAAAATCAATAAAATATAATTTTTTTAAAAAAGGAGAATAATTCTGGCAGGAAAATAAAAATGGGAAAAAAGAGAATGAAGCGTTAACAAAAGGTTTTAAAATTTTGTCTTGAAGACAAAACACAGCCAAAATGGTTTTGTAACGTGAACTTGACCAAACACATATAAAGATATATACTAAAAAGACACTAATAAAAATGGTGTAGCACTAATTTCAGATCAGTAATAATGTGGGAATAGAAAAAATTACGTGGGAATCGTGAGTGTGAGGGGGGGGGGGCATTTCCGTCAAGGGCCAGA